TTCGGGAAAAAAGCAAATGGCCACACGGGGGAGGGCGCGGAATGACACTATTTTTCAGTACCAGTGACGGTGAGCCAAGTGTTCCTTTTCCAAAGGCAAATCCCTTCTAGTAAACAGATACTGCGCGAGTGCTATCTTCATCCTATCACTAACACACAGGAGATTGAGTGGTGAAGAGTGGAATTTAGGCACTAGTTTAATGCATGATTCCCACAAGCGAGTTCTAGTGTCTCTGATTTTAGAAGGCCATCATGACAAGGCCAGTCCCTCTGCCGGTTTTGGAACAAACAATAGAAGTAAGAGGATACGTTCATGTTTTTCGTAATTACCGGCGAGGAGACTAAATGGTCATAACTTCTAAGTATATTCAGAGGATACGGACCCTCAATCAGCATTGCTCATTTAAACAAAGGAAGGTAAACACACTGTGCTGTATTATCAAACAGAAACTTCAAAGTCACTTCTACGTGCTGCAAATCCATGTTACATATTAGGCATTTTCTAATCTTGTCTTTATTCACTTTCGCCTAAGTCGACATTTGCTAACCGTTATACAATAGACAACCAACCTGGTGTCAGTTTCGGTTTCAGGAACAACTGACAGGTCAGTAGCGGGATCTTTTCACCTCTTGCCTTTGTTTTGGTGTCGGCGACGGCGGCGTCGAGGGCCTTACTTGCGTGGGAGTCTAGCTTGGCTCGTTATGACTCGCAAGTAGTTTTGAGTCAAACTATCGATCACTCTTATTTGCTAAAAGATCAAAACTGAGGCTAAACGACTAAACCGGTCGCGGTGCCAAGTGCGTCGGAGTGACACATATTATCAGCTTCAATGGCGGTAAACGAAACCAGCGAGTAAGGAGTTTTTACCTTCGATCATGGCATAGAACCAACCCCTGGGCTCTGCAGTGAAATGAGGTGTAATATTGTGCACTCGATTCGTAAGCCTTTGGTATTCTGCCATCATGACTTGGCTATGCAATGCCTTCAGACGCTTAATCGTCCTGTCCCTCAGAATATTCGGCTACTTGCCGAAATGATCGAAATTATAATGATGTAGCTGTGAAGCCCAGAGGTAGTATTAATGAAAAGAACAACGCTGATATGAATGGCGAAAATATGCACAGAAGGATTAGCCTAGGAGATGGTGTGAACCAAATAACCTTGTAACGGCACGTCGTCAGTGAATGGAGTAACTCACTGGTGATGGTGAGAACTCGCTAAAACTTGGAAATTCCATCTATGAAATTCGTATTAAATATATGTTTACACTCAACTCTGAGGGCATTTTGTCTCAACCGGCGGGCTTAAGGCAAAAAGCCAAGGGTGCACGTGGGCTAGATTGACCACTTTTACATACTCAGGCCCTCTAGGATACGTAAAAATGGCTACTGCGGGACACATCAATTATCACAACATCTTTGTACTTTACTAAAAGTCTCAGCTCTTATCAAGAGGCTATTTTTTGCACAGGGGCACGAAACTCTAGCCTACCCGCTGCTATTGTCACCGCTCCATACTTCATATACCGCGCATTTGTTGTTATAACCACTTTTTAAATTCACTAAATGCAAAACATACGAAGCCCTTTTTGAAGCAGTTTGCTTTTCGCAATCTACTCTGTGTGACGCCAGCCTCCGAATCCCCACTGCTAGTTGGATGTTTGTGCCGCCAGTAACTCAGTCCTTTAGTTGACGATATTGTGGTCTCTACCGGTTAGCAGGAACCGAATATGGCTCAGGCACTGTATAAACAACAGCAGCAGTTAGTTCACAGCGCATTGGACATAACTGCCGCCAAGATCTGAGGTGCTTGTAGACTTCTTGCACTCGTAAAGACCGCCCTACCAGTTCTGTCTTTCTGATTCTGGACCTGGAACCTTTTCCTTTTCAACCTTCGTGTCACGACAGTCCCATTTCATTTATTGTTGCTTTTTTTCCAGCCTTTGCTTTAGCTCTCTTTCTTTGCCCTACTATTCGCCCGTTACTGTTACAGCTTCATTCAAGCGTTTTGTGATCGTTTGACTTTGTGCAACCCCCTTCACAACGTTTCTCTGCACACCTTTTAGTGTTCAGTTGGAGTTCCGACCTACGGAGTTATTTGGCAGAATCGAAGTAAGTACGGATAACAGTTCAGAAGGTGAAGATGCGATCACTGGAACAAGAAATTTATTGGCCTGACGTTTCGGATTCTCACTGGAATCCATCAACAGAGACATTCGCAGATAAAGGTCGGATAACAGTCTCCTCCGTCTTGATAGGCTCTGCTTCTCAGTTTCCCGTTCAAATAGATTAGGCCAGTCAAAAGCTCCGGCCAGCGACAGGACAAATGAATAGCAAGTTGAGGTCGGAGCTTCTGTTAGCAATTGCATACACCAGTAGCTGTCTGCCTATCGCCTGTCATGGGCGTATTACCACAGGCAGAAGAGACTAGACTGTTTTCATTTTTTATTGTTACTTTGTTGATTAACTCCTGAACGTTGAGAAAACGATAACGAGTCCATTGCCCACTGGCCACTCTTCGGTATTTTCAGCTGACGTTGGGAGACATGAAATGTGAATTTACAAGGGACGCATCTAAAATCGGTGCAAAAGGATCTAAACACCAGCTGGTAAACAGTTAGAGAGAGACGCTTTATTTTTAAAGTGTCATCCCAAAATTTTTAGCAAATAAAGCTACGTCGCGCTTGTACATTATCCCGAATGCTACCGGAACGAATTTCTCATTTACGAATTCTCATTTGGCTCATTATGACGGCTGTCCAGACGATCATTCAAGGATCTTGGTCTTTCCAGAGAGGGATTTTATAATTTACGCCTCAGTCTCTATCTGGAAAATATGCATATGTACGTCCACAAAAAGCAGGTCTAAGCAATGTGACCAGCTTGTTTTTACTTTTAGGCGAATCCGGGTTTCTCTCACTCGAACCTACATCATGGCCAATATTTGACTCGCATGGCATTAGAGCAAGATTAGTAAAAAAGCCGAAGGAAGTTACAACCAAATAAGATGAACTTACCATTTTATAAAATTGAGTCCTCAAATCTTCTTTGAATTATATCAATTAGATATTTAATTTATTTCCGGCTTAACGTGCTTCTGGCGTTTTCGGAAGCAGATCTGAGCTGGAACAAGTGTGCGGTTCCAGTGCTCTGGAAAACGTACGCTAAAGTAAATCTCAGACATATTTCGTTGAAATTTAAGCAAAAACTTCAGCTGGCTACTGAGAGCCTCTAAGATCCTAACCGTGGTAACATCGATGGGCAGAAACGTTAGAAGCCTGTAAACCCGATTACCTTAGAACACCTGTTAACGTCGAGAGTCGATGCAGTTTCACCACCACTATACAATCAGGACCGTTAAGGTTTTCATACAGAAAAACCAGAACGTTCTTTCCTGAGCTCCAAAACGCTACCTAAGGACGAGACTTCCATCATGCTTTACTGTTGAGATATTTAAACATGACACCCTCGGCAGTCTTCTGATTTTAAAACCGCATTTCTCTAAACCTGTTTCTGCAGCACGGACAAATGCTTCGAACTGACTTCCACAGTGGAAAATAAAAGGAAACGCCGGCGAACCACAACGCAGACACCTTGGTAGCCGCCTGTGATCCGGTATCGGTATTGTTTCTGGATGGCTACTGAGCGGGACCCGCTGATAACCTTTCGCTGTTTTCCGTCTTTCCAGTCATCGTATAACAGCAGTTTTATTTTGCATTAAATACTTGGCTACTCAATGCTGTTATTTATCTGCTTTCCATATCACGATCACTGGCCACAGTTGTTTAACTCAGCCGGATAGCATAGTGACGTTGGAGAGAGGTGAAAATGATAGGAAAATGGACGGCCAATTTTGACCAATCACATAAAAGTAGTGCAAGAACACATTTCTGCGTCACACGTCGCAGACACCTTTGAACCTACTTGATCGAACTTCGTTGGAAGAACCACTCCAGGACTCCGGTTAACTCACATAAGTCGTGATTTTCACCAAAAATAGATCGACATTATGAAGGCCATGATTATGTCAGGCTTAATTAAGGCCTTCAAACAGAATCACAGTGAACAGCTGTTCTAAAAAATAGTGTCCATATAAACGAATCCATGGAGAAGATGGCAATGTACGCTTCAAAAGCCTGTATTGCTACTCTGATTAAAAACGTCCTTTCTTTTATGAAATTTAATCTTTTTGATTCTCAAATACAGCTTATGAAAAACGGCATCGTTTATAGCTTGATGAGCTGTAATCTAGAGGAAATTCTGATAATGAAATTGGGGGTATGTACTTCGTTTGTTCCTTAATAAACGAGAGATCGTTTAAAATACCCTATATCGAATATTCAAGGATTTGATAGGCACTTGACACTTGCATGTCTTACGTCGATTTTCTGAGTTCAGAAGGGTTCGCGAAATCGAATCTTTTTCCTTGTTTAGCCTTTTACCATAACATTTGTACACGCATGGTGCGCTTGACATTTCGCTTGTTCGACTCATTTAAATGCTGAAACATCCATTGTTTTTAACCGTCAATTGTACATGCTGTCTGCGTTGCCAGCGGAAGCAACAATCTACGTCCTTGCTGTATGGATATCGAATATACATTAATAAGCTCGATATAAATTTTCGTCCCGGTTTGAAGTCTGTTCTTTTTTTAGCATAGTTTTGACTTCATTTCCCGTATTTGGGCTCAGAGCCAGTTAACCGTTGAGAGGCGTCACGATCGAACTTGCATTACAGAACTGTATTCTTATCTGTACATTTTTCTACACTTGAGACATTTAAAAGACTACTCACAGAGCTGATTCGTAATTCTTATATAAAAAACGTTTCAGTCACGGTCGGTGGATATTAGAGTCACACAAGTTCGCTATTGGAGAAGACGAAAACTGTTCAAAGGCTGTGACCACTCCTCGCTCAAGGTAACACATGTGGGATAGCTTCCATCGGATGATCACACACCCACAATTTCCGGTAGTTATCCCGTGTTGTCTGCCGCAGGGAATGAATGATCGCCTGATGAGCCCGCGCCTGCCCCCTGGTGGATCTAACTTCCCCACCATCATCAGTGCCTCTGCTCCATCAATGACTGCCTCAGACGAGGCGAAGACAATGTTCCACGAGGACCTGCATGCCCTCCTGGGGTCTATGCCGAAGACGGATAAGCTGATTGTCCTTGGGGACTTCAATACCCGCCTCGGGACAGACTGTGCTGTCTGGAGGGGGGTGTCGGGTCCCCAAGAAATCGCCGACTGCAACGACAATGGCCTCCTCTTGTTGCGAACCTGCGCTGAACACCGGCTCCTGCTGACCAACATCTTCCTCCGCTTTCCGATGAGGAAGAAGGCCACTTGGATGCGCTCCGCGGTCCTGGCAGTTGCTGGACCATGTTCTTGTCCGGCGGCGCGATCGACAGGACGTGAGGGTGGCTAAAGCGATCTGCGACGTAGATGGCTGGCCGGACCACGGTCACGTCATCTCCAAATCCGTAATCCCGAAGGAGGCCACAAAATAAGCGACCCTCCGGTAGGCAGAATACCGCTTTTTGTTGTTGCATACCCACCGTTTGCAATCAACTGATCCAGAAACTAGAAGACTTGCAAGGCCCAGATGAAAACGTCTTCGCGGACAATCGATGGAGCCATCTGCGGGACACCGTCCACTAGACCGACGTGGGCTTTCACGACAGTGCACGTTGTCAGCACCAGTTCTGGTTCGAAGACAAAGACTCGGTCATCAACAACCTGTTCGCTGAGAAGAACAGGCTGCACAGAATCTACCTGGACCGCCCAACCGATGCGAACGAGGCGGCCCTCTACTAAAGTCACCACCTTGTCCAGCCACGATTGAGAGAGATACAAGACTTTTGGATGGTTCGCAAGACCGAGGAGATCAGGGATACACCGGCCGCCACAAATCAAAGAACTCCTTCGCTGGGATCAAGGCAATCTACAGCCCACCAACCAAAGGATCAACACTTCTGGCGGATATTTGGCAGAGTCTGAAACGCTGGGTCGAGCACTTTAAAATCGTTCTCAATCGTCTCTCCACAATCTCCGACGACGTCGTCGACCGGCTCCCACAAGTGGAAGCCGACGTCGACCTGGATCTCCCGCCAGCAGGGGTTAAGTATATGCGCGGATAACTGCCTACAGTATTTTTATAATTAGGTGTTGTTTCGTAGAGTTTTTATCGGCTCTTCCTCAGCAGGATAACATTCGCTGACCTGCACCGTCCGAGAAGTCAGTGCTGTTGAAGTGCCTACGTTGGCTCATTGTTCTACACCCACCCACACGAAATTCTTCAGTAAGAGGAAAGCTCCCCTTGTAGAAAAATCCGGCACGGAGAGCAGGTAGTAAAAAATGCTCGAAATATTGTTAGATGGAATGCATAAGTCTGCCAGCAAAGCAGGAGTGTCAAGACATTGGTGAATTTGTTAAACAACAGTTGGCATTTTCTTACCTCGCGCATATGTATGCTTAATCCTAACCCTCCCGCTCTGTGGACAATTTCCTCCGAATTTCAAGGACGCAACCACTGTCAATCTCTACAAGAGCAAAGGGAACAATCACAGAGGCATCTCACGACTCAACATCGCCGAGATCTTCGCGCTCATCCTCCGCAATAGCCTCGACGGACACCTCGTGCAAAGACTTATGACGGAAAGCCAATGTAGCTTCCGGCGACACCGATGCACAATCGACATGGTCTTTGCCGCATGCCAGCTACACGAAAAGTACGGGGAAATGCAGACCCATCTCTACACTGTTTTTGTGGACTTGACGTAAAACCTTCGATGCAGTGAATCGCGAGGAACTATGATAAGTCATGCAGGAATTCGGTTGTCCAGAACGATTCACGCACATGGTAGGTCAGCTCCACGACGCTATGACGGCGCGCGTCACAAACAATGGCTCAATCTCTGAGGCATTCGCAGTGACCAATGGAATGAAACAGGGCAGCGTCCTCGCGCCTACCCTCTTCGGTCTCATGTTTTCTGCCATGCTGATGGAAGCCTATCCTGATGCGCGCCCCGGGATACGCATCGCCTACAGAACTGACGGGCATTTTCTTAACAGCAGGTACATGCAGACCTTCCCGCGACTATCTGCTAACACTGTCCACGACCTGCTCTTCGCCTACTACTGCGCGCTCAACACCACGACCGAAGAAATCATGGGATGGAGCGTGGACCTCCCCGCCGCCGGGTGCGCCTGTGGCAGTTCGCGTCTCCTTACTCTCCGCCTTTGTTACGCTGCCTTTCTGTCCGCCTCACACTCCCTGCCGATCCGCTGCTGGGACGCGCGAGGCTTGTCACTAGCCTCGCCAGTGCTCATAGTCAATCAGCGCTGTCCCTCCTCTGATTGGCTGGCGGACGCCGAGACAACGAAAGGCGCACACACGCGCTGGGTCTGAGTACCTCGAAGACGGACACAGACAACGACAACTTGCTTGGAGAGCGCGCTCGTGGCGACTGCGTGCGGAACTTTCTATACGCACTTCCACAATAGTAAAGGTTGTCCAACCCAATACGTCTTCCCTGACCTTTGATTTGCTAATCTCTGTCCTGTAGGGAGGCGTTGCGGAGTCTAAACGGCATGTGCATGAACTCAACGAGACCAAAGGGGGTGGAGACGGCCGTCTTCGAAACGTCCTCTGGGGCATTGGGAATTTGGTGGGAAGCACGGACCATGCCAATTTTCGTGAACACCGATTTGCCGAATAGGGCACCGGCAAAATCCTGAAGATGCGGGAAAAGGCAGCTGTCCGGGACAGTAACGTTGTTCAGGGCCCTGTAATCACTGCAGGGTCGCCAGTCACCGGTGGCGGCCTTTGGGACCATGTGGAGAGGTGAGACCTATGAGCTTTCAGATTGACGGATGATGCCTATCTGAAGCATGTGCGCGAACTCAACCTTGGCGACAGCAAGACGTGTAGGCTGGAGACGGCGGGACCGAGAAAACACAGGATAGCCAGTAGTCCGGGTGCGTTAAACAACGTCGTGTGGCGGAATAGAAGCGCTGAATTTGGGACGAATGAGGCCAGGGTATTTGGCGAGGAGTTGCCGCAATGGATTCTCAGGTTCAGGGTCCGAGACGGCGAGTTGACGGGAAGCGTCGGAGGAAGAGATACCCCGGACGGTGAGGTAAGTGGTCTTGTCGTGTAAACGGAACTGACAGCCGTCAACCAGAAGATCGAAAGCGGTGATGTAATCTGCACCGAAAATGGCCCAAGGGCTGTCAGCAACGACGAAGACCGGGGAGAAACGACACCCACGACCGATGTCCAAAGAGAGGGAGCAGGTGCCAAAGGTGTTAATTGGTGATGTGTTGACGGCCTGCAGAAAAAGACTGGGATTGGGGAAGTGACGATCAGCTTGTGTGGGTGGAATGACACTTAGCCGGGTACCAGTGTCAAACACGAAACGTCTGCCACTCCAAGTGTCGTGGAAGTAAATTGTGCGATCAGAGTTAGAGCTGTCGGGAAGATTGGTTGCATTGAACTTCGGGATGACCCGTTTTACCCGTTTGCTCTGCTTGGAGGTGAAGGAGCAGGGGTAGATGTATGGACGGACTTTAACACCAAAGATGTTGTGATACCAGCAGGTGGCGACTGTGGTTGAACGGGCTGAATGTGCAGACTGGACATGCGGGTGGACGGTTTCGCTTGGCTCTGAGATAATGAAGAAACTGTCGGCTTCTGGAGAGAAGCTTTGCACCAACCTCGGCCTGAATATCAACACGAACAGAACGCCGGTCATGCACCAACCGTCACCCAACACGCGACACTGAACTTCTCCTAGAATCACTGTCGACGGCCACCTACTCAAACCCGTGGACAATTTTGATTATTTCGTAAGCACACTTTCCTGCAATACGAATATCGACGATGAGGTTGCTCACCGGATCTCCAAAGCCAGCCGAGTCTTCGGCCGGCCGCAGAACTTTGTGTGGAATCGTCCCAGCGACCAAATGAATACCAATCTGAAAATGTACAATGCTGTCGTCCTGGCAACACTCCTCTGCAGATGGGAGACCTGGACCGTCTACTCCAACCATGTCAAGAAACTTAATTACTTCTATGTTAGCTGCCTTCACAGAATACTAAAGCTGAAATGACAAGACAGGATACCCGACACGGAAGTCCTAGAACGGACCGAAATCCCCAGCACTCACTCCATATTGAGGCAACTATAACTACGCTAAGGCAGCCATCTCGTGAGGACGAAAGACACACGCCTGCCGAAACAACTCTTTTGTGGTGATGCTGGCACTGGTACTTGTGGACAAGGCTGACAAAAACGGCGCTACAAGGACACTGAAGAACTCTCTGAAACGACTGCAGACCAACCCGGAGATCTGGAAGTGTCCTAACCAGAACAGACCGGCATGACGAAGAAAAGTGAAGACCGACCGAAGCTATCTACGAAAAAAATCGGACCGCTGCCGCTAAAGCCAAAAGGGAGGCTCGAAATCACAAATGTCTCGACTCTTCAGTGCTAACCGTCAGCCGCTTCCAGTAGGTCCACAGCGTCAACAAACGTTCTGGGCACCAAGCGTACGACATCTTCGGACTCAATACGCCAACGACCGGACACCGTCTACTTCCTCCCTCACTCTCACTCCTGCTAAAAACCCCGCAGCGAAGGTCACCCCCTTCACCACGGACCACACCGTCACTGCCCGCCGCCATCAGTCACTGACATCACCCACCCTGCCTTAATTCCTGAGTCGACCACAGCGACTAGCTCCACCAACACCACGACAACACGCACTCCTCCCACCGACGGAACGACATCCGACGTCCCATCGCCTGCTACCGTCACCACTAGCACGCCCACCTCAGGCGATGTGGACTCGGTCCATGCCTGTCTTCATTGCAATTGCACGTTCACCCCACACGTGGGCTTGGTCGGTCATTTTCGAATCCATCGCATAGAGACTATCGAACCAGCGCTCGGAGTACTAACTTACAGTCGTCTCATTCACCTCCCCTGTCCAAACTGCCCCCGCACATTCACTCACCGCATGGGCCTACTAGGTCATATACGCCTTCACGAAAACGTGCGGTAGACAACCGCCGGGTACACCACACCATCACTCATCAGCAATTACACCACACAACAACACCCATCGCAAGCACTCAATTGCCATTTCCCACGCGAGCAGGAGATGTGCTTCTCGACTCCTTCCACATGTGGCTCCTCTGCTGCATGTGTGGTCCGAGTCTGAGTCCACCACGGTACGCCAAGCGTCATGGCTTGGAAGGGTGCCGACTAAAGCCTTAACTCAGTCTACGTAGTCAGCCCAGTTGTGTGTTTGCGTGGAGTGGTGGACTGGTGGACCGAAGGTCAGGCTGTAAAGGCTCCCTCTTAACGTGGCTTCTGGCACTCACACGCATGTGAGGAGTGAGTGTTTTATGGGAAACGCCCCTCAATCTATGGCTGACTGGTTACCTGGTCTTCGAAGGCTAATGGCCCAGACTAAGTACAGGGCTGCGTGTCGCCCCTCTGAGCCTTAAGGATTGTGAGTGTCTTCTATGCCATGATCAGCAAACCATGGCTCTCGCAGCCTGGTGCACTCTGGCAGTTCTCTGGCACCCAGTTCCCTGCCTGTAGATGCGCTTGCGCTCCCCTGGGCATAGGGTCTTGCGCATAGTTGCCCAGTCATCCTCGCCCGCTGTTTTGCTGTTGTTGGTCAAATATCTGGTCATTTGCTATGTGGATCAGGGGATGTGGTGGTACACCTAGATGCGAGTTCGGCCGTGCTAGCCACCCATGCTCTCTCTCTCGCCTCCGGTCTTCTTGACTATATGTTGACATTGGGCAGGGGTAGGGAGGAGGAGAGAGTGCAGTAGATGCTGCGCAAGTCGCCGTGCCCGCTTCACCTTGTTATTGAACGTACGGTGGGCATCGTTGGTGACGGCGGTCCAAATGTCGGTTGCTTTTGTAGCCGAGCATTTAATTACTAGCAGTTAGTTGGTACATGTGCTATCTGTACGGTTAACTCGTATAACATGCATACCTTTGGCAGCGTACAGGCGATCAATGGGTATTGTTAGGCTGTCCCGTTGAAGACTATGCATGTTGGCTTAAATATTCATATAAGCTGTCGGACTGGGTCAATAAAACTTTATTCCAACTGATTTATTATAAGTTAGCGCATTAATTTGTGAGGAGATGAAAAAGCCAAAAGTTGAAAACTGGAGTATCTACCAGAAGGCGCACGGGGAACGCTGAATGGCTCACTGCTGAATCGGACCTCTCGCAGCTGTCATGCACCGAATGAATATCAGGGAATCACGGGTCTGGCCTTTGGCTAATATTGTGGTGACAGTATCGCGAAATCCCTGTATACATAGCAGAATAGCATTACTGACAAAGACGGGGGAGACTGGAGTGACCATTTCTGGCTTATTAACCGTCGTCAGCCAGTCATACCCAACCCCGAGGTGTGGAACACGTAGGACTTTATCCCGCTACCTATTGGTTAGAGGTGACACACTCCAATCATTGAGCCACGGGCTCGTTGTCATGCCAGTTGCGACCGGGTATATATATATATGCGCAAATATTTAGTGTTCGGATATCTTATCGCATTTATTATCCCTGTAGCGGACAGCCATCATAACCAGTCTGGCGTCATTTTTCAAGACCTCGCTGCCTCAATATCACTCACCATTTTGCGGTGAACCGATCCAGAGGAGAGACATGAAGTCACACGACCGACAACTAGGGCATATCTGCGACCGCACAGCTGCAGATGCCCATGAAGCCACTTGAACGCACCTCCCTCTGAAACCACAATCTAAGTCACTGGGACACCACCCCTCGGCAAATGCAATACCCACTGACTGGACACACTTGAGCGTGGCCATACTGAAACACTGTCTCGCCGACGCGCCAGCGAAATTGAAGGCAACTCGTGCGAATGCCAATGACTGATCAGTCCGCGGACTGATGTGGGACAGTCAAACAGGTACGCGGATTGGCTAAAACAACGCCGTCCGCGAAGGGACAAAGGTCACACGAGTCCGCCAGCGCTCAACCTCGTGGAGGTTACAGCTAGCTAGCAGCAAATGTGCAGGTCAAGTTTTGTGCGTCGAGCACGGCTATGACACATGGCACGCGGCGAGTCCCGGTAACTAAACACCAGCAGAAGTGTCGAGGTAGTATTATCGACAACACAGAGGTTTCCAAATCAGGAATCAGGGAAGGCGAATTGAGTTGAACAACCTTACTGTCGTGCGAAAGCGCGAAAGGGTTCTGCAAACTGCTGCCGCAAGCAGTCTCTGCAGGTAAATTGCTTTGTCCTGTGTCCGCCATTTATGTTACTAGCCCCCAGCATGTGTGCGCACCTTTCGCTCTGTCTCGGCGTCTGCCAGCCAATCACAGAAGTGGCAATGTTGACTGGCCTCTAGCACTTGCGAGGCGAGTGTCAAACCTCTTGTGCCCCAGCAGCGAATCGACAGGAAGCGTGAGGCGAGCAGAAAAGTGGCTAGGCAAAGCAACGGAGAGCAAGGAAACGCAGACTGAGAAGGGCAGCAACCGCACAATTCTGGTGATGAAAATGAGGGAACTTCCGGAACATCAGTACGCATGCAATTTGGTCCATGAACTTGCCATCTCTACTTCTTTACCTTTGGAAGATGATAAGCGTAGTACACATATATGTATATATGTATGCATGACTAACTGAGCCCGTCTGAGCAGAACGACATTTTCTGAGTCCCAACTGGGACTACTTCGACGTCAATACCACTTCACAGTTACTGTCCCTGAGGTTGCCGCTGGAACTGTACGTATCAAATTACTTTCTGCGTCTCTGGAAATATTTCCTCGCGTGGGAATTTATCAGAAGTCTGTCTTTACGCGGAATTTGTTTTTCTTTAGAACTTAACGGACTACGGAGTCCATTCGCGCGCAAATATCGGCACCCTGGAGGACCGGCAGTTATTCAAGACCTTAGATATACTAAAAACGGCTGACTCGCACCTACATATACTTCATACCGTTCAAATTTTTTCTCTAAGTCCACTTTTTAAAAATAGGCACATTTTCGACCATTTGGGTTTGAATATTTGTCATCCCCCATCGTATACAGTCGTAAGTATCAGTTACAATCTCGAAAGCGAATAGACCCTTACGTACACACGACTTTCATGAATACAGAGCAACTTTTCGGTAGTTTCACGACCAGGACCGGCACTATGTGTGAAGGAAATTCTACTGAGATGGTTTTGACAACCACAATTAGCGCTCGCTCGCTTTATAGTTGCAACCAGGGGGCCGCAAAGCGTGCTAAAAGCGTAATCACAGCAAACTCTGCTAGTTACGGGGACGAGTCATGCACTGGATTCTCCTATATTTTGCTGAAGATCCAAAGACTCGAAAACGAGCTGGCGGCTTTACGGAAGCTCTTGCAAGCGAACGATGGTCGGCAAAACGCGATTAACAGCGTTAGAGTTAGCAAAACAGGGGTCAAGAGCAAAAACTCCAAAACAGCCAGAGAACAAAGTTTGTGGAAAACCTCAATGCAAGGACGCAGAATCCATGACGATGGGATAATAACAACGGAGTCCCCTGTTTCTGTGGAAGACAACCGAAGCGAACCATCAACTCTTCTCAGCCATTCCGTGTGTCCAACAGAATCCTCAGTTGGAAGTGAGGAAACAAACTCGAGGCAAGGTGGAATGGGTAAACACCACAACAGGAGTATAAAACCCAAAACGACTCTGGCGGATCTCCTGAGACCTTCAGCT